CCATGGGGCAAATTATCTTAGCTTTTGAAGCCTTAGCACCTTTGCAAAACAACAACAATATACAGCCTTTAAGATGACAGTGAAGACGAAACGAGAGGCTACACGTAAAGTGCCATCACTTGGTAGGGCTGCTGCTCAAAATGAGCAGGCTAGGAGTAGAAGGAATGCTTCAGAGGCAAGCTCTAAACCTACATCCACCACAAGCTACCAGAAGGACCGCAGACAAATCCCAGGAGCTTACTGAATACAGTCTTATGTAAAGTGGGGAATCACAATACGTCACCGTAAATGTACCCGCCAAGTATCATGTGGAGAGCCCAGCTCTTAGAAGTAGCTCAGTAATTGCAGCAACGATCACAAAGGATAGCTAGCAAGAAGGGCCCAGACCTTGGACGCTTAGGAAGCCTAGGATGGAGGAAGCAGTCTGGGTGGATGAGGGCCAGGCTTCCCACACTGGACAGGACGGGAATTGCGTCCCCTCACCCAGCCAGAGAGCAGGTTGCAGGCAGTAAGTAACAAGGCTGGAGGCACAGGAAGCAGTAGGAACAGAGAGTTGGACAGGGTGGGCAGCCAGGCAGAGCTGAACAGGAAGCATATGGGAGGGAAGAATTGGGCACAGCTGGGGGCACTCTGGGGGATTGACAGCATCTCAGATACGGGAATGGGGGAGCCAAGGAAGGATTGTAAGGTCTTAGTCATCCTAGGAGGTCAAAACAAGGAAGAATCTCCAAAATTACCTAAACCAAATTCTCAGTGGGACAGATAGGGATACTGAGGCCCGGAGTGGGAGGCCTCCTCTGGGAACAGAGCCAGCCATTGCTCCTCCTCCCACTTCCCCCAGACATCAGTGGCTTCTGTTGCCATGGGGATGTCCCTGGCTCAGAGGGTGTCAGTGGCTCCCCTACCCCCTCCCTCCTTCCCTAGCAACAGGCCACCTCCTCTTGCTCTTATCATTGCATGCCTAGCAACCTCAGCTAGTCCCCAGGGTCATGAAGGTCCAGTCTGACCTCGTACAACCATGACTGCCCCTGGGACTCCCTCGTCTTCTGATGACAGTAACAATTCAGCCTCTTCCGACGGCCTGTTTTTAAGTTCTACCCCGTCTACATTTTGCAGCATGACTCTAAATCATACAGCTACGAGTCAGTTTAAGAGAGACTGGAGCACAACTGGTTGAGTCGCTACTTGATGTTGAACACAGCTTTACTTCAACTTCCCCCAACTCAGAGAAGTCAGAACCATTGCTTCCATTTTATAAAAGAGAAACAAAGGACCAGAGAATTTAAGTGGCGATGGCAAAAGTCAGACAGCTAGGAAGCAGGCTGTGTTGACAAGCTTCGTGATCTTTAGCTATGGCTAGTCTTACTCTGGACTCCGGTTCAGGTACCTTTAGGGCTGACAAATTCTGATGGATATACAGGAAACCCAGACATCTATCTTTGCCCCTTGCCCCATCACCGGCTGTTCAGCTTTAATTATACTCTTGCATTCAATACTGAGGGGTCGGTCCTAAAGCCTGGGCCCTAACATGGGTGGTCTGCAGTCCGTGTATTCTACTCACGCCTTGCTATTCAGTTTTCACACTAGCTGAGGCCTAGTCTTCTTCTTGGCATTTCTTCCACTCACCTAACTCTTTTCCAGCCACACATGTACCCAGGTATGCACACACTCATGAATGCAGCTGCTTCCTGGATGGGGAAATTGGAGTTTGACAATAGCCAAACAGATAAACAGATTTGCCCAGTCAAATTACTGGAAAGCAACATAGCCCAAAACAGAGCCCTTAAAATTGGATCCAAAAATTTCTACTGTTTTTTTTTTTAATGCCACAAAGTCTACTTTCCTTCTTTCCTGGTCACTCAGGTGTGTATAACCTGCAGCCCATAGGCTGCCTACACCCCAGGATAGCTATAACTGGTGCCAACACAAAATTATGGACTTACTTAAAACAGAAGATTGGTTGTGCATGTGTTTGTAGATGATATGTGTGCATATGGGTACACAAGGACGTGTGTATGTGTGTGTGTGTGTGTGTGTGTGTGTGTGAAGGCCAGAGGCAGATAACAGATGTCTTCTTCAATTGCTCTTCTCTATTTTGAGACAGGGCCTCTCACTGATTTGTTAGGATGGCTGGCCAGCAAGCTCCAGGGATCTGTCTCCCTAGCACTGTGCTTACCAGACCACGCCATCATGCTCAGCTTTTTATATGGCTTCTAGGCATCTGCCTGAGGCCCTCACGCTTACATAGCATGCACTTAAGCAAATGTGCCATCTCCCCAGCTGCTATTATGAGATTTTTTGCATTGTTTTGTAGACACCAGTTTACACAGTTCTCGTGTGCGAACTTTGTAGATGACAGCATCATGTCATACAGTCACAAGGCTGGACGTGCCTGAAGAGATCTGTGATGCATTCTTGACCCAATGAGGGTTCTGACCTCTAGAAGTTGTTCTTTCCTGCCGACATCTGTTTTAGTCCAACTGACTGGACCATGGCTTTAAACACGCCCCTTGCTGTCCTACTCATGTTGATTCTATACCCAGGGACTCTCCGTATGTGGAATCAGTCCTGTGCAGCCCTGCCTGCTTCGACATCGCCTGCTCCAAGAAACACTCCCTAACTGTAGTGAACTTGAGAAGTTACATGTGGGGTCTGAGAGTATCCTCAGAGAGCCCCATCCAACTATGGTTCCAAAAGACCTTGTTGTATATGTGCTATTGCTATAGACTCTTTGGCTGCCCTGTAGCAACTACTGTAGTCTGAGTTTGATCTACCTGCTGATTCCTCAACACTTCTATAGCCTCCTTGACTAGGAACCCAGCATACATGCCAGGAAGCAGATGTGAGTAAAATCAACACCAACTTCAGAATCAGAGAGTCCAGGATATGAATCAGAGAAATTCCACCCTATGCCAGTGATCTTCTCTCCCTGGGTGAGGCACTGACTCTCTTGGGATCTCCTCTTCCTCGTTTATCTTTGTTTTGTTTTTGAGACAAGGTCTCACTATGTAGCTCTGCCTGTCCTAGAACTCTCTCGTAGACCAGGCTGGCCTCAAACTCATAGCAATTCAACTGTCTCTGCCTCCCAACTTCTGGGATTAAAGAGGAGCACCACCACTGCCCGGCTCCTTTCCGTCATTTGTAAATCGGACATCGTAATCCATGCCTAATGCAGCTGCTGTGAGCTTTAAAAGATCATATTTAGAGTGATTAGTATCTGAAGAATCAATGATATTTATTATGATTACTAATATTTGGATGGTGATCATCATCTACAAAGCTGTCAAGAAGGCCTATAGTGACAGTATAGGCAGCAATCTGGGCTTGGGGCCAAGCAGACTGGAGTTTGAATCCTGGCTTGTTTCCTCAACTGGAAAACACAGACGATAAGGCCAGCGCAAGTTCCATCCACAGTGTCACTGGGTGGATCAAATAAAACAAATCCTTGACAAATTCTGTAAGTTATAAAGGCCCAACATATGCCGTCATGTGAGTCATGATTATGGCTATTATTAAATACCATGAGCTAAAGGTTCCAGGAACTCCCCAGATGGGAGGAGCTGACATCTAGAGATGTGCTCAGTCTGGTTCCTCAACAAGTTAGCAGGCACATCCACAGAGACGCCTATGGAAGGCCTGGGCCTGAGGTCATACCGGGTGCCTTTCTCCAAACCCACAAGAAGGACATTGAGATCCTATGTCCTTTCTTAGAGAAGTGCCCTCCTAAGTGCTAGAACAAGCTGTGCCTGGCTATGCTCCTTGGCAGCATGCAAGGATTAATTGTGTGCCATCAAAGACCTTTTGCCCAGACACCAGGGCTGACTATATCCATCACGTTCTCACTGATTCAATGCTGGCCTCAGTATGTATCTCCCCCGCCACACACACAGCCCTCCTCTTGGACCTGGGCACCAATGTGGTCACTCCAGACCTCCTGCAAGAGATGCTAGGACAGACTTCAAAATGCACAGGCAACTTCTGAGCCAGCCCGCTAACCTGCATGGCAGGAACTGTGCTGTTCCACATGGTTGGCCAAGCTGTACCCCGCCCAAGGGTTTACAGTTGAGAGGCAGTGAGTGGGGGGTTGCGCCCCATTTGTGCTGTGTTCACCAACCCGGAAAGCCTGGTGAGCGAGGTTCACAAGAAAGGGCCCATTCTTCCAACGGATCCATTCAGAAGGAAGAAGCGGTCCTTAAGCGAACCATTTCTACTCATGACAAAAATGCCATGTTTACTAGTGCAGGCTGGAGAGCACTGGCTACCCCATTGTGTGCCTCTACTGCCTGGGCCCATCTCATTTCAAAATCCATACTTCCCAGTCCCGGTGCTAAGATTGGACCACACCCTGAACCCCTCACCATCCCCACATTATCCCTGTTTTTGATACTTCTGCCTTAGTGGGGTTTCTGACAGGTGAGGGCCAGAGGAATGCACAAAGAGCTCCGGTCTTAGTCCCGCTTTACTTCTGCTCCCTTAGCTGGTAACCTTTAAACCTTACCAGAGCTTACAAACTTTAACCAAGCATGCAAGAAAAAAATGTTTCCCTGTCATCATATATGTTAATTCTAACATCTAGAACGTGTCATATCTAAAGTCAATCTAAGGGCCATTACTTGAGACTGGCAGAATTCAGGATAGAGAGGGAAAATAAGACCAGGCAAGCCTAGCATCCATTGATCCCTTCTTTCCTGGAAAAAGGAAATAGAAAACTTCCTGGGTCTGGAGCTGACCGAGATCAGCCTCTTACATGGCCCTGCACTGAACAGCAAAGCTCTCAAGTCCCCTGGACCACAAAGACTGAGTAACGGTCTTTAACACCATGTCTATGCCTGCCATGTTCTCCCTGTCCTCCCATCCATTCCACACCGCTTCTAATACCAATGGGGAAAGAACCCTGCCATTGACCCCTGCCCATGGATCCCAAAGTAATAACCAGAAAACCCCTCCACCCCAAGCCCAGCCCCATCCCCCAAGTACTACTAAAGAAGCGAGGTACTGACCTGACTGTTCTGGAATTCTCACCATCAGATCTGCAAGAGAAACAGGAAATAAACAACAGTCAGTACAGGTGCACCACTCTTTCCCCTACCCTACCCTGAAGTCCAACATATGTCATGAAAGCACAGACGTGTTTCATTCACGTACAGAGAACAGCAAACGCAAAGGCCATGGCAGTGAGTGCTTAGTCAGCTGGAGCAACAGGGAGAAGGACTGGTTGGTTAGGTAAGCAAGGCAAGGGCCACTGGAGGGGTGTGAGGTCAAGGAGGGAGCAGCAGTCACAGTGAGTGGGCATCTCCCTGTCTCTGAGAAGCAGCCAGAGACAGCCAGGTTCAGATATTGTCTCTGCTATTTACCATCCCTGTGAGCTAGACAAGCTGCTTCATCTCTCTAAGTCTGAGCCTCAGTTTCCCTCAGTCCCCCAATAATACAAGATTGATCCTCACAGAGCTGTTGGGATGAGTAAGCTCTTTGGAACCGAGCAGGCAAATGCCACATATTATTAATAAGATACAAGAGGCTTTGCCAACTGCCTAGTCCGACCTGCCTATTTTCCAGTTGAAGAGAATGAAGCTGAGCGGGTAAATGAGTCAGCCGCTGTGCTCCTTTCTACTATGCTGGGCTGCCTTTTTCATTATGCATGGCCTCAGATGCAAAAGAAGGGTGAAATTGAATGGAGTGAAGGCCAGCTCTGAGGAAAGCCAGGAAATGAGCAAAACCAGGACCATTTTCCTCCCCCTCACTCTTCTTTGGGAAGAATGTTCATTGTACAGGCACACACTCCAGTACAAGCAGCTACATGGCTAGTATGTGTGCACATGCGCTTGTGTGGTGGAGGTAAGGACAGAGAAGCTGTTATACTGGGAGCAGAAGAAGAGAGAAAGGAGAATCAGGGACCCTGGAATTGGGAGAATATTGGGGCGTAGTCTTCCTCCCTCTTCACCCCACACCTCTGGTCCTCTCCCAGGCTGAACTGAAATGAAAAAGCACAGAGATAAACACATAAGACTCTGTCACCAGCTGAGAGAGCCAAGATACAATCTCAGGGTTTCTTTGGGGGGGCTGTGATCTATATGTACATTGAGAGGATGATTTTAGAAGAGCATCTGTTGAGAGAGTGAGCATGCATACACACACACACACACACACACACACACACACACACACACACTTACTCCAGCAAGGAAGGGCAAGTAAGCATCGAGGTGGTAAGTGAGTCTGACGGCTTCCTAGCCACATTATCCTGAAGAAGTCACCTTGCTATCTAGAACCTCAAAGTCTTCACTCAGTAAATGGGGCAGTGACAAGAAATCCTCCCTTCATGGAATGGCTTTGAGGCTCAAAGTGCCTGACACCTGGTGCCAATTTGTTGCCTTTTTGTCCCCTTAAAGGGATAGAAAAACCAAGGCCACAATACAACGTATTACAGTTATTCAAACTTTCCATCACACTATAGCAACAAGATGGCTTCTGGAATCCCAGCTTAGTTATTCTCAGGTATCAAGTCAAAGGAACCAAACTTGAATGACTCCCCAGCTGCCTACAGAATAGAAGCCAAAACCCTCAGCACCTCTAACACTAATCTCCTGCTCCAGGGAGGCTGGTCTACAAGCACACATTTATTCAGTTGGCTATACTGTAGGTTCTAACCTGGGAAGACAACTACCTACTCAAGGAGTTCAACTTCATCATTATCATCATGAACCATCATTGAGCATCTACTATGTACCAATTTCTAGTATCTCTGCTTCCAAAGCATTCCTCGGATGTGTCACTGTTCTTAAGATGGCAGTGGGGTTAGGGGAAATGTTCAAGTCCTGAGGCAGAGTGTATTAGCTAATTCTCACATTAGACTGATTCTTCTTAGTTTGGGAGAACATAGCATCATAAGATCCACAGTGGGGGTGCATCCTACCTCACAGGCCTATCACTAAGCATTTCCTATGTGTATATGGGGAACAATAATGCTAGTCGGTTTTTGTCAATCTGACACAAACCTAGGCATGCTTGGGGAGAGAGAATCTTAATTGAGAAAATGCCTCCATAAAAATCGATCTATAGGCCAATAGGCATAGCCTATTGGGGGTGATGGCACTCCTGGGCAGGTGGTCCTGGGATGTATAGGAAAGCGGGTTGAGCAAGGCAGGGGAAGGAAGCCAGAAAACAGTGTTCCTTCATGGCTTCTGCTTCAGTTCCTGCCCTGACTTCCTTTAGTGATGGGCTGTGATGTAGAAGGGTAAACTGAAATAAACCGTTTCCTCCCCCAAAGGTCATGGTGTTCTATCACACCAACAGAAACTCTAGGAGAACGATCATCAATATCGTGCTAGCTGGATGTTTTTCCTCACCTGTAAAATGATGGAGCCGTGTTAGTTGCGTTCTAAGCAGTCTTTAGGCTTTGACATGTTTACTTAAATCCCAATGCTTGGGAGGCAGAGGCAGGTGGATCTCTGAGTTTGAGGCCACCAGCCTGGTCTACAGAGTGAGTTCCAGACAATCAGAGCTACAAAGAGAAACCCTGTCTTAAAAAAAACAAGCAAACAAACAAAAACCACAAAAATTACTTTCTTCAGAACTCCAAGGTTTATTGCTTTTATCAATTAGAGTCAGCTGTCCACATGTGGAACCAAAGACCCAGGAATCATACTCCACTACTTTTATTAAATTCAGTAGAAGGAAATGTCTGTCCATATGTCTGTCTGTCTATCTATCTGTATATATATACGCATGTGTGTATACACACACCCATATCAGCCCATATGTTCATACCCTGTTTGCATGCCTCCCTTTCTCCTTAGGCTAACTTTGGGCCTAATGAGCAGACTTGGATAATAAGACTACAAGCCCTAAAAGTAAGCTTAAGAAATCTGGACAGGGAATTGAGTCCCAGATACCTAGAGTATGGTCTAGAAGGGATGGGGTCCTAATGAGCATGGCTTCTTGACCCCATATACACTTGCTTGGTAGGGAGGGGGTCTTTGAAATTTAGGGCCCAGGCCTCTGTTTCTTGGTATAGTTCATGGTATTGGGATTTGTAATACACAGAGCCCAAGATCCTCTCCTCCTTTGGATTCCTTAGCTAGGTTCTGCTTTGGCAGTTTAGGGAGTAGGGATGCCCCAAGTGGCAAGCAAGGCCTTCAGGATGCAGCTAAACAAACACATTGATTCCCAGGCTATCCATTGAGGCATTTCATTTGTAACTCTTTTGGTATACTGATATTCACTTCTGAACAGCTTTTGCAAAAATTGTGCACTGAATGCATTCTTACATTAGAAAATCTAGGAACCCTTGGAAAAGGAAAGGAGAAAAAATGTGTGAAATCACATCGCAGAGGCAGCAACCACTCTGAACAGTTTCTATTCCTCACATTCTCTGCAGTTCTTTATGTAGCAGAAATGATTTTGCACTGTATGATTTCCATGGCTTTTTACATTACATGTTTGCCCATGTAACTGCATATTCGTCATGACCATTACTTTGATTTGTCAAGATGCAGTTAACCATCCTCTGAATGTAGTGGATGGACGTAGGTATATTTTCTCATTACTAAAATTGTGCTTGGTAGACTTTCTTTTCCACACAGCTTTAAAGCAACACTCGCCTTTTAGGAAACTAACCTTATAGGAGCAATTGCATCCAGCTTAGCTCTCTTTCTAGACTGTCACTCCTGCTAGCTAGGTCTGCTTTTACACTCACGCATTCATTCCATTAGCACACAGTCACTCTGTACTTCTATGAACCAGATCCCGAGCTAGGGCTATGGGAAAAAATGAGGCAGAGCTCCAGACCACCAGAAGATGATGTGTCAATCACGCTTTTCAAAAGGCAATTTCAGAACAGTGTGATTATGGCTGAGAGGGAAGGAAGAAGCGGATATCAAGGGAAAACAGAGAAGGGTCTCCTTAACCCACCCTATGGACATGAACATAAACTCTTTGAGGATATGGTCATGGAAGACGAATAAATATGAGTTGGTTAGAATAAGAAAGGGAATGTTCACTGAAACACAATGAGTTGAAGAAACTGATTTATCTGTTACTCCCCAAGTCCCACTAAAATGTAAGTAAATAAATTAAAAAAAGAAAAGAAAGATAAAGTCTGTGGTGTCGACCAGAAGGAACTATTCCACTTAGAAAACCCTTTCAGGGCTCATGATTTGGAGGTGCTGTACACCTCAGAAGGCAGAGTGAGGGATAAAGCTAAAAATAGTGATATGCAATTGCTGTCCTCAATGCTGTCCAGTCAGGGGCTCTCCACCTCCAGCGCCATCCCAGCAACGGGAGGCTTTGGATTTGAGAACACCAGGTGCAGTGGCAGACGGGGTAAAACAGAGCTAAAAGCAAAGGGATCTTCCTTGGGAAATAGTGGGACCCTGACTTCCTTCTACTCTCTGACTTCCGACAGCAAAATCGAGTGTGCGCGGCTTCTGTGCACCTGTCTAGTGTCACGGATGCTTTTCTTACTGCAAAGACACTTAAGGTAGGACTTCTGTTTTTATGGTGTATTTAGTTGTATTTTATGTGTATGAATGTTTTCTCTGCATGTAAGTGTACTGCGTTTGTGCTTGGAGCTAGCAGAGGCTAGAAGAGGAAGCTAGATCCCCTGGAACGGTAGTTGTGGGTGGTTATAAACTGCCTCGCAGGTGCTGGAAACTGAACTTGGGGCCTCTAAAAGACTAACAGGTGCTCTTAACTGCTGAGTCATCTCTCCAGTCCCCAGTTTAGGTATATTTTGCTTCATGTTAAATAAACCTTAATAGAATTCATTATTTTCAAAGGAAATGAAGTTCTAGGCAGTCAAAGCCTACACTATGATGCAAAGCTATGTGGGAGAGACCACCAACCTGGAAGGCAGATGGACAAAGAAAACAAACCAAAGAAGGAATTTGGAAGGAACAAAGACAATTGAAGAAATCTGGGAAGTGAAAAACAGTGAGAGCCAGAATAAAAATGTCAGTGCCATTAGAAAATAAAAGGTGAACAGATATCTTAGGAAACAAAGTAACGCAATAAAGAGGATGATGGAAGAGAA